CTGTCTTGGTAAAATTACCAATAATTGGTAAAAAAGTGAGATGGTAAAGGTACCAACGGACCTTAGTAAAAATGCCGAGAATTTTTTCCAGTGATAATAGAGTGGCAAGTATACTTTCTACTCTATAGAGTAAAAACGGTAAGGTAAAAGACGTAAACGATATAGAAATAAACTTATTAAACATGTAATAGTATGTATATTTTTTGTAATTTACTGATAGTTTTGTTTTGGTTTCAGTAAAATTTTAAGTTGAACAAAACTAATAATTTTCAAAATTATAAATAGATCCAACTATTTTAATAAATAATTCTTATTACTTATACTTAAGTTTACAATTTAAATGGTTTATCACACAAAATAATATCTGTTTTACAAATATCTGTCACATTTCTACTGGTATAAGTTGATTTTCAACTGAGAAGAATGAAAAGTCTAGTAATATCAGTAAAATATCTACTCGTGTTTGACCAAGGGATAGGATTACAATCTCTACTCGTTTTGGCCAAGTTGAGATTTAATAGGCCTCTAGAAAGGGCGTGCCTTCAGACATCACGCAGCGGCTTTTCCCTCCAAAATTTAACGGGGGATACGAATCATAGAACGGAGAGTCTGGAAATCCACTTTTGAACAAGATATACGGTTTTCTAATTAATACTGCGCTTGAATAGAAGAAATTCAAAGGGCATCATTTGTATAACCTAACTTCCATATGATCTGTGTCGAAAATACCTGTCAATATTTTGTTCAGATGTTGATTTCCGGCATTTCTGTTGGTTGGATCGTTTTCTTCACAAAATTCTACACAAGGGCAAAATCTCAAACTTTTTCTCTAGTCTGGATCGTGTCTAGTCACCATTTGATGCGAGCAGATATGCGGAGGGGTCCAGCTGATGCAAGGACATACAAAACGCTGAATCTGCAATGTAAGTTTTCTGAGAAATTAATAGCTGCATAAAGATACAGAAACAGATTTTTTTAAAAGCCTCGCTGTTTGTTGAGGATATCTTCTGATCAAAGACAGTCCTTTTAGAAACTGAATGAAAATTGATCCGATATGGGTAAAATTCTCTTTCGATGTCCGTAAAATTCTTTTGTTATGTTAAAAGAATTCCTACTGTTGACGAAAATACGTGAGCCCACTTTTCTTTTCAGCTGAGTGGTCTTTGAGTGCATAACTTTACAAATTTGAAAGATTGTCAAATTTTCAACTATTCGCATCTGTTTCATCTATCAAAGGAATGAAAAGGAGTAAGAAAGCCTGAGGCAAAGACATCAGGATTTCACACCCCTTGCAGGTTTCACCCAACATCTCATATTATCAATAGCAGAAATTCTAATGAATGTCGCTAAGCATATTTTAAGAACTTTGCAGGTTTTTCCAGAAAAAGTCTAACCGGTGATCTGGGTCTCGTTAGCTAAATAGATAGTTTATTTCTTTGTTTATCAGTTATTATTGGCCAGTACTGTGGTGACTCTCGAAAGAGAATTCTCTTCCTTAGAAACTTGGGATGTGCGACCGTAAAAGCCTGTCATTGATGTCCCGATCAAGATAGATGCGCATTTTTGAGGTGAAATTTTTTTGTCTAGTTACAGATGAGAAAGATGACACACCGATTAACTTTCGCATATGGCGCTCGAGACAAGGCTCGCCAGCTCGTGAGAAATCCCGATAACATCGAGAACGCAACAAAGCGTACCTAGGTGCATGATTAGATGTATCGCGTAAAATTGAAGGCATTAGATAAATCACGTGTTACAAATTGCTTTTTCTAATGACAAAATATACAAAGATCAACAAATAGCTCCTCGATTAAGTATTCTGACAAAAATAGGCTGGGGTCATCCGGGTCTCAGCTTTTTCGTCTTATCCACAAAAAATATTTTCTACTTGGAATTTTCTAAATTCTAGGAACTCCAGTTAGGTTATTTGTGCTGTTTCTGCGTTATCACTTCCTGAAAACGCAGCGGCAGAACCTATCTGCGAACCTCTTCTTTTATTTTTGGTGTATTTTTATTTGTTTCTGGAGCGATATGCCCATGCGTTTCCTGTGATGTGCTGTTAAGCTAGCTAACTAAATATTTAGATACATTATATTGATTACAAAAGATATAAATAAGCCAAATTATAAAGAAGTAAAATTTTTAAAATTTAAAAAATCTTAACAATAAAAATTTAAATTTCTGTTACACATGAAAAGCGGTGAAAAAATAATGTGCTGAGGTACAAACCATTTAGTGCAAGGTTTCTAAAATTTATCGCCTTTAATAAGTAAAGGTTTTCTTATTTTTTTTTTATTCCCCATTTAATTTTCAGATCTCTTACCTGTCAACATGCAACGAACTCGCCTCAGAATCGAAATATCTGGCAACGACGCTGGGACCTTAAATCGAAGGTTTCGGCGCACACCTTTCGTGGTGAAATCTCTCCCACGCGCCAGGCTTGAGCCTTCGTTCGGGATGTGTGAGAATAGGTTGATGCTATTCGATCCCTATCACCGCACCGCACAGTGGAACGAAGCAATGAGACTTGAGATTTTTGTCTTAAACTACAAATTTTCATGCTATTTCTTGCTATATTACACATTTTACTCAGTGCACCTTAAAGGAAATTGTACTAGAAAACCAATGCAGCTACTTCTAAACATCTGTGTCTTGAATTAAAACCTGTTCACTAGCTTTGTCCATTACAATGGACATTCATCTCGGTTACTTGAAAATTACTATGAATTTTTCACCCAGCAAAACATGCCTATAGTGGCCTTTGTCAAGAGCACCGCTTTTATTCTTACAATTTGAAAATTGACACCGATTATCTCAAAAATGTTATTTTTTAGTTTTTCTGGATTAGCCGAAATGCTTCCGTTCATGTTTGTGCGCCCAAAGGCACTGGGTAGCTTCTTCTCAAATGTTTAGTCCCTACTGTTAGTACGTGTACTGTGTGTACATGGGTTACTGTATGTGCTGTTTTCATGATGAATTTCTCGCTTGGAAGAAGGCAGTCGAAATTGTTTGCGTTCTTGAGAATTTTTGATAATCAATGTCTATTGTAATGGACAATGTCAGTCGATGAACTCTAATAACGAAGTGAGACATAGGAGAGGGGGGATGGTTCCATCCCCTAGACCGCCTCCCCTACCCCTGAAAAGATTTGTTTGAGAATTGGAAACATGCATTAACTTTTAGCTATTCCCATACATTTGATTTTTTTTAAAATTTCCAAAATCTTCGATAAAATCGAAATCTCAACCCCCGCCTCCACTCCGTACGTTTCACGGGGTCATAAAAGTTCAATGACTGCCTTTGTCTATTACAATGGACTTTCCATGTCTTGGGTTCTACTGGTCCAATTTTGATCAATGAAGACTTAACTTTTTTTTAAAAAAAAAAATTAGCGTAGTTAGAATAAGCACTTGGAAAATCTTTTGGGGTCCCCTGAAAAATTAGGCAGTGAACGAGGTTTAACAAAGATAGCGTTTAAATTTCCCACATCTATTCATTTTGTCACTCCTTTGACGAAAGGGGAAAGGGCGTATCTTTATTTTCACGCAAGCCTTGGAAAGCATCAGCAACATGGCTCACTTGGAAATCGAGGTACGTTCTTACGTCGGAGGAGCAACGATTGCACTGTACTCCGCGGTATAAAAAACTTTAGGTGCGCCCGGTTTTCTGAAGTCCTCATCCTCGGCGCAGTTCGGGCCCTTTTACTCCCCTCCCTCACACTCGAAGTCAGCTTCCGTTAAGGAATCGGAATAATTATTGCAATTATTGTGCACCCTGAGTGACTTCCGAAACCGTTCATTAAAGTTTCCACGGTAGGGTTGAGGCGTCCGATTGTTGATTCGGTTGGGGGTTGACCGAAATTGCAGCGGTCGGACACCTGATGGAATCGTCGTATCAATTCGTTCTTCCCGATTTTTTTCTTCTTCTGTGTTAGTTTTAAAATGATTCTACCCTTGTTCTTTTGTGAAATGGATCCCTGAGATCATCATGCAACGGCGACTTCGGCACTGCGGGAGAATGGAAATGTAAAAAGTAAAAAAATCCCTGGTGGTTATGTAGTGTACTTAGAAAGTCTGATGTTTTTTTCCATCGGTCAGATAAAAATTGTACCTCAAGTTTAAGGCGAACTTCATTTCTTACTTCCATGTACCCATTTATTTAGATATAAGCAGCGGAGCGGGGCTACATTCTGTAGCATAATTCCCGGACTTTCCAGGTTGTCCCTAAATTTTCAGGTTTTTCCAAACCCTTGCAACCCTGTCTGAGTTTTTGGAAACACTGTTTAAAGTTGAAGGCTTCTCTAGCAAGATCAAAGAGGTTGCCTGATCTAAGCAACATTTCAGTGGTATAGATTTTTCATCGCAAAAGACAGTACATCCTGTGAATGCCAAAAAAGTCGATTGACGATTCAGAGTTCGACCTAATTCGACAAAGTCGTCGGGGTCATTCGTTCAACTCGTTGCACTTCGAGTTCGCTTTAGCACCGACGAATATAAGTGGCGAGGGGTAAAGGATCGATAATCGATATCTCCCATTTGAAGCTATGGTAAAGAATCGATAATTAAGGTGCTTGTTGCGAACACCTTGCTTATCGATCCTTTTCCATAGGCTTAAATAGCAGATCAATCGATACATCGCAAAGCACGCCACGCCACCGGCGAATATACAAACACAATTGCCTGGCTCCGTCTCGTTAAACGTTTATGACACATTAAACCTCGAATAAAAATAAATCTAAATTATTGCCTTATGGCAGAGCTGCATGAACCAGGCTTGGTGGCATTTTTATGACGCTTTCTCTCACCGGCCTCCTCCTTCCCCTCGCAAAAACAACGAATCTGTGTGGGATTCCGATTCGGGTTACGTGGGTTTTTCACACCAGGGCGGCTCATGATGTTATTTTTAATGGCACGTCCAAAATTGCAATTGTTTCACTGGGATGCCACGGCGATTTTGCATTGACGAATAACAGGGTGGCATGAAACGAAAGAAACATGGGAGGGTTTGAAAATCTCTGTGAAATTTATGAAAAATATTTTTACAGGTCTACATTAAATTTACTAAACAGATATTCATTGTGAGGTCTCGGTATGCGATACGTTTCCAGCAAATAAATCATCTAGCAACACAAAATATCACATTTTTCGTTCTACTCTGTCTTTTCATTTTGTATCTCGTATTTACAACACGAATGATAAAAAGCAAAGGATCGATGCCTTTAAACAATTTTAGTAGAATTTTGATAATTACTGAGCATCGAACTGATAGCAAAACATTTCAAACATATACATTTCATAAATAACTGCGGAAATAGAGGAAATATTTCACGTGAGGTTTCAAAGTTTTGAACAAAATATTTTCTCATTCTGCGCAATAACGCAGGATTTTGATATAACAGGCTAAAGAATGGCTCATGCTAGGTTTCAAAATTTGCATCAGTGCTGCTCAATGACAAAAAGCAAAAGTCAGTTTGCAAAAAAAAATCCGATACATTCAAATAATATACAAACTTTTTCATACAATTTTCAAGACTTTTCCCTCTTGTAACCAAACATCACCTGGATCTTTGACGAATCTTCCTTTTGCACGTAACTCGGAGAATTTAAAACATTTAGAAGCATGATGAACGAATTTCTGCCAAACTGCATCCCTGCGCGTTCCTTTTAGCCATCTTTCTTGGCAAATTAATAATGTCGTGTTCACGTGGGAGAGACGAACCAGTAATGAGATCAATGGGTGAACAGCCTGAAACATCCATGCAAATATGAACTGTGATACTTATCATCTTTGTAAGTTTCAAGTCTCTGAAAGCTGTATTCTTGAACTGATTTTGTTGAGGGGAATTAAAAATCTCCATGCTCATCCGAGTGCTTTCTTAAGAATTTACTGTGCAGCAATATTCCCATTTTCTCACATCATTAATCTGAAAAATAAAATTCTAAGCGAAATGTTAAACTTAAATGGACTGATTTCATTCCCATTGGTTATAGAACGTAAATAATTCAGTCTTAGTCTATAATCGATGTAAGTTGCAAACAGTTTAACTTGATTTAAAATTGATTCTATAATAATATTCTATTTCAAATGTGGTTTATTTTTCATAAAATATGAACAAGGTCATACTTTCTTACTTAGTCCATTTCAAGGGAGTACGACAAAAAACGGAATATTAAGCTGGTGGTAAAGTGTAAATTCAACCACCAAAAGTCACATTTTGAAATTATGGTATCGAGCACTTTATTCTGGACGAGCAATATTACAATTAAAAACAATTAAATAGTAAAATATGAAATTAATTCTCTATTTTGAAGTCATATACTCGTATCTTTTGATCTAACAGTAGCTCATCCTGATAATTGTCGTTTAAAGATACGATTGCGTTCCAGTTGAAAATAAGTAAATTTTAGACCCATGAGGAATTAAAAATAATCCAGGAGAAAAAGATCATTTCTTACGTAGTCTTCGTCGTAGATCACATCTGATAATAAAATAACATCATATCGAGACATCGACCTAATTTTTTTCTTATCAGTCCAGCATAATATTTCAGCTCGAATCCTCCCAGCAGTCTTTTCAATATTATCAATGTTTCGATTGATGCTGTCCTGCATATATGGCAACATTTCTGGTCGATCTGTTAGTGTAACATTTCCCCTGAAACGAGAAAATAGAAATAAAAATACCAATTTTCAAATTTGCAATAAGTTACAGTCAAACAGGAAAGAACTATTTAGGTGATGAGTATTGACATCGTAAATATAAAGACTAGAATCTACACATGATAAATTTTATATGATATTAAAACTCCTTAACCCTTTGACTCTTGAATTAGAGTTTCACGCCACACTCCCCCATCTAAGGTTGGGAATGGAAAATCATGTGAACATGATTGTTTTCGTATCTTCATTTGTTTATTTCTCAGCCAAACAGCTTGACATTTTGTGTGCCTTATCCTTGAGTATGAATCAGTGAGGATCAGCCACTAAAATTTGATTACCACCACCCAATTTTTTTTAAATAAATAACCCCCAAAATAAAGATTTTTGAAAATCCAAGACGAAAATTATCGTCCGTGAGTCGGTGCGGTTACACGAGGACGAGGGTTCTCGATCGTCAAGTCAAGTCAAATATGATTGAAGTGCCATGTCCTCTTAATAGTATCATTTCCGATGAAACTTCTATCCCCACTTAAACCTTAAATATATCAAAGACGGAATGTATCACTTAATAATCGTTAACTACATATCACACATTCGGTTGGTTGTTTTTTTTTTTTTTTTTTTTTTTTTTTTTTTTTCTTTTTTCCCCAAATTCTTACCCTAGACAAGCAGTGGCTACACCAGCACATCCAAGCCCGGCTCCAAGTTCCAAGACATTCTTCCCGCGGATCCAATTATTTTTTAAGCACGATCTTTCTAAGTAATCGGCAAGTTCTCGAGACGAATCCCACAGGTAACAACCGGAGTGATTTCCTGTGACGTTCTGACGAAAGTGAAGCGTTATATTTGAAGTAATCATTGGATATTGTTTGTCAAATAAGTCCTCTCTACTCCAGTAGTCTTCTTCAACAGATGTCTCAGCTCTGAGTCTTACGCAGATCATTTGCTGAAAATAAATAAAGTATTACTAATTGTAACACGCCAGAGTCTCAAGTATTGCCCATGATGTAAAATATTCGTTGTTGATCTGATATGATCTTTGATTTGTCTTGAAAATCATATTGCGACTATGAAAAAATGGGAGTATCAGTTTTAGAGTAAGTTAATAAAAGTGAAGCTGTAGAGTCGGTCCCGAAAAAATTATCTCATCTCCAAACCTTATCTGAAACTGATACATACATACGTATAAGCTGCTTTCATAGCGCTCTTCGGCGTTCTGCGATACTCATCCGCCAGAGTCCCTTTTCCTCCCAAAACTTCAGAAAGTTGGCACTCCTTCTAAAACTCCCTTAAAATGATAAGGTGTAATCAAATTTTCTCACAATAATGGTTGTTTTCAACTGATTTCGTATATTTCCGTACGATTTTTTAAGGATTTTTCCCAACGAATTTATTTTAGGTCGTGCATATTTTCCGGATTACCCTTGAAGTTTGATCGATTGCGGTACTTCTTGTTTTGTGGAGTCCTAAATTAAATGTGTCAAATATAACTCTAAACTGCATAGGAGCAAGGACAAAGGCATTACGACGGCGAAATTACCAGACCACGCTTCTCGTTTGCTGTGTTTAGAAATTTCCGCCCCTATTTTGATTGTTTTGAAGGAGTATGGATTAATAATCATTCCATGAAGTTTTCACTGAGTTTTCTCTGCATGGAGAAGAAAAATCATGGAAGTTTCCAAGAATTTTCGTGAAGTAATTTTCCGCATTTAAAAAGTAAAGTTCTATAGAAAATCTGCAATGTCGCAAACCGAGATACGTTCTCTGGTAATTTCACCGTCGATAAGTATTTTAGTTATGAGAGCCCCTCTCCGTAAACACTGCTAGTTGTTTCGTATAAGTGTTCACAATTAGCCATAATTTTAAAATTTATCTTAAATGCACCATAATCCGAGTGTTTTTCATTTTATTTTCATCAATAGAAATAAAAATTCAGTTGAAGATGAAATCTTTCAGATTGCAAAGGTCCCTTACCAAAAAACATATCAAGAGGACAGTTCTGGGCATCTCTGATGTGTGTCATAGCAAAACCATTTATGATGACGGAGAAATTGCAGTCAGGCCGCATGTTTTTACGTTCTTCGGCTGTGTAAAGTTATACTGAAGATAAAATCGCCAACGCTTCCAGAAGATTGTTGACAACATGAGGAAATAAAGTACAATAATCGAGAAGTAAAAAAACATTAAAAAAAAAATAAAGGAAGCTAAAAAACCAAGGAATAATATAAATAATAAAAAGACGAAGGAAGCTTAAAAACCACGAACAAAGAAGTTGGACGTGAGGAGGAAATAGGTAAAAGATACAAATAGATATAAAAATACCAATTTTAGTACTTGTGAAAAACTTTAAAACAGAGTCAACCGTACGAAAACATTTAACTATCATAACTAAGTACACGTATGCCATTACTGCGCATTCGACACAGAAATAGTAAAGAATATCATTACGTAACATCACTCTGTCGAATCGAGAAAGCACAGACTTTGATGATTAAAAACATGCATCAGTATACATCACATTATTTTAGGCGAAACGATAACGCTCGTTCCAGAATCTTTTCTACATTCCTATGCTTGGCCCTCATAATTTTACTGATTTGACTATGTAGGTATAAATTTCCAAAATTTTAGCGGATGGTTGTTTCTAACTTAACGATTTTAGATTTCATGAAATATTGACCCTCTTTGCATTTCATGCCTTTCAAAGAGTAGTCTACAGATTATCCTCTTCATCAGCGCTAAATTATTCAAAATTTCTGTCTTACAGCATAAGTAAAATAATCATTAATTCATGCGATATACCGCATGCGAGTTTGTCCACGTTTGAAACCTTGACGAATCGCGTTAAAGTTGTTTTCCTGGATATTAACCCAGTATACTCACGCATTGGGCACAAGAGCTTTCCCGCTTCAAGCTCACCCGAACGGCGTTTTTGGTGAGGTACTAGTTACCGCAGAGTCCGCACAGAGAGCAGCACATACTCAACGAACTCAAGAGCCCTCAAGCGGCGGAAAGCTGAACTCCGTGGTGGGCCGCACTTTCTAGCGGGAAACTTGAGTTTGCCCGGGATCGATGCTCCTGTTCAAATGAAGCACGCTTCCCGCTGAAGATACCTTTACCATGCCTGCCGCGAGGTTTATAGCCCCCGATCGAAAATAAATTTACACTCTTCGATCTTAAAAAAAGAAATGTAGTTGCTTCTCTTCCTCTAGCATTTAACATATTGGAAACAACTATACATGTGATGGCTACGTAGAATGACTCTTAAAACAGGGGGAAAACTAAACTTGGATATCAGTTCCACAATTACAGAATATGAATTCTGCATTATTTGACGTGAGAAACATCCAAAAATCCAAAAATTGACCAGTTAAGAGGATTTTTTTGTTGTCAACGGATAAATTGCGAATTTGAGAAAAACACGAGTAGAGTTTACCAACGCGTTTGCCACTTTTAGAAATTATTCATTTTAATGATTGCGGCATTGCCGTATACCGAATTGAGGCTTGAAATTCTGACTCAATGATCTTAAGAAAATTTAAGAACGTTCAGCATCGACGACTTGGAACGACTCTATGCGAACTTTACATTGAGATCGCATATCGATGGTCAAAGTCGAGAAACACATATCTCCATCGATATGTCCAGCATTTCCGTTCCTATTTTATGATTTAAAAGAGAAATAGGTCATTTATAGCTAGAAATTGTGCTAAAAAATAGCCTGCTGACAGAGAAGAGAAAAAAAATGCAGGAAGTCATCAAGCAATTACGTTGACTAGTTTCTCAATGGAAAACTTAAGTATGACATACAGGAAATCTGAAATTTTGCAAAGAAAGGTATTTAGTTTCATGCTTTGGCCAACAATTTTCAGATGGATGATGAACTAAGTTGATTTTCAATAAATAACAATTCTTTTCAATTTTGACAGAGAAATGAAAGGGGGGAAAGAGTATTAGAGAAGAAAAAGAAAACAGAAAAACGGGAAAAATGTTGTAGTTTCAGCGCCAAAATTTTTAATCGTATTCTTTGATATCACTGAAAATAAGGAGGACCAGTACTTTTAGGTCAATATATTTTATATACTCACTTACTGCATGACCTGCTTGTAGCATTCAACTAAGGTGGATTTGCAGAAAATTTGTTCTGCTTGTTGAAATAATTTTGAAATTTTGAATTTTTCATGTTTAATTCTTGGAAGCCACCTAATTGAACATATAAAAGACACTGGAAAAAGCGACTTGATAGAATCTGCAAATATTTAGAACAATGTGACTGATAGATTGCAGAATTCTTCTTGATTCACACGATTTCATTCTTGATTAATGAGACAATATTATTGATGGAAATTTAAAGTCAATCCCGTCCCTTTTACACAAGCGTGTTGGCCTTGTCTACGAAAAATAAAATGTTCCAGTCGAGCAGAGCATACACAGTGAGCGAAAGAGAAGACATCCATTGATATTGATCGCCATACTTTATAGGGTGACCGCAGACCGCCAATAATTGATGGAAGGGTGCCTTAAAAACGCCGTTGACGACCGCAACAAGGCACACATTTAAAGGTGGCTTATTGCGTTCGATTTTTTGAAGGCGATCTAATCGCATGGAACATTGGATCTCGGTTTCAAGCGTCTAAGCGCTGATCCTGGGGAAGAACGATGGGTTCGCTCGGTTCGCCCTATGTTTCTTCATTACTTTTCTATCTTTGACACTTCATCTACCTACTACTTTGCCTCTACTTGCCTCTCTTACTTACACTATATGGTGATGTATATTTGAGACACAAAAGTGATAAATGCTTACGTATTATTCATTTATTTTTCGTAGCTTTCATTCCAAATCCAACGAATCTTAGGAGGTTCTATATTTATAGAGCCTGCATCAAACTGAAAGTTTTGAAATAATTTCAGTCTTGCTGTATTAAATTTTAATGTTAAGAACTTGTTTTGTTTGTTTATAAAATGCTCATCCTTACAAATATAAAGATAAATCTGCAAAGATTACTTTTATACATAAAATTGAAATCTCACTTATTAAAGTAAAGTTAGACACACAAGGTCCTTAAGCAGAGTAAGAAATTAGGTAATATCGTATGCCTAGACGTACTCAAATAGTACTTCCACAGTAATCTTCCTCAAAATTTCGCCTAAAAACGGGCAATACATCAAGTCTATAAGTTGAATCGGATCGATCACTAAATTAACTCCATTATGCTTCACAATAGGAAATGTGTGTAGATATACTGAATGTGTGATGAATATTTTCGGTTTCATTACACTGCATTTTTCTGAATAATATCAGAAAATTACCGCACCTTTCAAAGGATTCAGATATTCTTAATGGGAAAACATGTATTGCGGTACCTTTAAGCCTTATCAAATCTGAAGATCTGCAACTTTGAAAATTGGACGGATTTTTAGTTGACCATTATTTCACTCAGATTATGAATTGAAGAAATTATATTCTCGACAGGGCGATCGGATCGTTGCCAAATTTAACGGTTTTGAATTGGAACAGAATGCATTATCGTTGCAAAAATCAGTTTGAAAGTGCGCTGATATGATATTTCAGAAACGGCGCAATCGGACTTGCCCGTAGAGGGCGGGGATGATTGCCCCTTTAATATTCTGACCGACATTGTTCCGGTAGGGATCCGTGGAGCCCTTCGAGGCCGTTTTTTCAAATATTTTGGAGGCAGTGCGTGGAAGATCGATTAGCGATATTTTTCCCATTTTAAGCTGAGGTAATGATCGATTTTCAAGGTGTTCGTTGTGAATACCCTGATAATCGAACCTTTTCTATTGATTTAAACGTGACAGATCAAAAGATCTATCGCAGAGTACACCACGCCACTGTTTGGAGGAGACTCCACGATATGGATTTATTTTGAACTTTTGAGACGCCTCTTAAGGTTTCCTCCTCTTCTCCTTTTCTTTCGAAGCCTTTGCCTATGGCAGCTAGCAGCATGTGAGAATCCTCTACGGGTCGATTGTTCAATCACTATTGAATAATCTCAATCGACGCCTCTCCTTAGTTATCCGCATGAGAGAGTGCATGGGTAAAAATACACGAAGAAAGAGATGCATGCCTCGTGGTATCCTCGTCCACGGAAGGCGCATCAGGATGCAAACCCTAACAAATGATTCTCCCAAGGAGAGTGAAAAAATAAGCAGGCTCAAGAAGGTTACTTCCTAAATTTCATTGATCTGCTTTTAGTTTTTGTTTTTTTTAAACGAGGAAAAGAGTCTTATCCTGTAAAATGCCGTTGCTTCTTTTGCATCAAATGCAATATCTTTCGATTCTCATCCACATTCAAAAGATTCCAACACTCCACACCGATAAAAATATTTGGACGTATTTATGCTGAAACGAAATATGCACATAAGGTTTGCGTGTAACATTAGTTCCTTTTAGCATAAATACGTCCATTTGTGATCGTGCATGAGTTACTTTTGGTTAGTAAGGGAAATGAAACACAAATTATTACAAATTGTGTATTAATTTTGGTACATTTTACAGTGAATTTAGCGCAGAGCACTATGGAGAAACTGGGAAAATGCATTCCTCCGATCGTATCGTTAGTATTCACTATTGGTTTCTTATTTTATAAAATTCCCTCAAGAAAACTAGCTGACATTCTCTCTTGAAATCGTCAACCAAAAGGTAGAATTATTTCATGTTTTACTTCTTGTAAACCAAACTTTCGTATTGAAATTTCTTTCCGTGCAGCTCTACTCGCCCGTTCAGAAGCGTCACGAACGAACGCGATAAGCAGCGAGGAGCGGGAATGCAAGGCGTGCGGTATCCGCGCCAACGGAAGGCGCATCAGAATGCAGAGCAGACGCGCTCTAACATAAGATTTTCCCAAGGAGTCGAGAAAAATAAGTGGCTGCCCGCGCCCACGCCGCGAGGGAGGAAAGACTCATTGTTTTTTCGCGCCCGCCGAGTCTCCACCCGGTAAGTTTTTTCCACGACAGGCACGAAGTAAGTGGGAGCGCGCCCCATTCCATCCCCTTCCGGGCCAAGACGGCCGGCGACGGGTGCGGGGGCGGGGAGCAGGGGAAGGAGGACGCCTCCCAACTTAGATCAATACCTCCTTCCCTCCGTTTGGCCCTCATTGGCTGAGATAGACGCCTATTCTTTCCCGACTCTTTCCACGGCTCAGCCCTCACAAAAATTGCGCCGGGTCCGACGAAAGAAGGAGGCGCGATTGTGAAGGAGGAAAAAACATCTTCTCCCTCCCACTCCCGCTCCCTCCCCCTCTCCTTCTTCAACCCCTATCCGCGCCGCATATGTTTCCCTCCGCGCTTTTTTCTCCCTTCCTTCTAATTAGGTCTCCGTGCCTCTTATTTTTATCGCCTAATGCGCTTCCCCTTATTCCCAAGAGCAGGGACACTCGCGCGGCAATTTGTTTCACACATACACG